AAGGAAATCGTGAGGGTGGGGACCTAACCAAAGTCCTAAACTTAGATGATAGTTTTGATAGCAACTTGTGGACCCTGCTGCTGCATCGTATTATGATCCACCAACAAATTTTTTTTTTTTATATGAATCACTTGGTATCTGAAAATTTATTGAATTATTGAATAATTTGGATTTGAATCAAACAGAACTAACAGACGATAAAATTTTTTTTCATGAATTTTAATGAAATTACATTATCAATATTTAAAATCAAAATCTCTAATTAAACCGAAAAGATACCATGCCAACAATCCACCCGCTCGTGGGTTCCACCAACCACCATATTTGATTGGCATTGCACACCACCACACCCGCACCCACCCCACCATTCATTTTTGGTTTAAGTACCATTTTGGTCCCTCAACTATCCACTTTGGTACCAAAATTGTCCCTCAGCTTTAAAAAATATCAAAATTATCCTCAAACTTTCATTTTCGATACCAAAACAGTCCTTCCGTCAGTTAAATGACAGGTGTCACGTTAATTTGCCAGCAAATCAGTTCTTTTTTTGCTTAACTAATGACGTGGAAAAAAAAACCATTGTAGGCATTTATTTTTTTATTAGTTGGCATTTTTATTTAATTTAAAAATAATAATTCTTTTTTTTTTCACACGTCAGATTTCTTCTTCCTCTTTCATTTTCTCTCTCATTTACCTTTCCTTTTCCCTTACCTCTGCAAACCAGATCTGGGTTCTCTCTCAAACTTCATCTTCTTCCTCCTTTCCTCCTCCCTCCTCATCCTTCTTCTTTCTTCTTCTTATTCTTTCTTTCTCTCTCTTCTCCCTTCTTCTTCTTCTCTCAAACCCAGATCTGGCATTTCAGCAACCTTGCTCACCTCGTCCATCTTGGACGAGCTCTAGCACTGCTACTCCCCTGTGAGGAAGCCGTGGTGAAGAAGAGGACAATGGCGTCCACTGCTGGTTCTTCAGCAACACGGCTCTGCTTTCTTTGTCCAGAAACTGTTCCAGTCGGAAGTACATATTGAACTCCAGAACTCCAATCACTTTCCTGATCCCCTTTTTTAATCCCCGCTGACGGAGAAAACTCCCTCACCTTGTTGATCATTCCGTTCTTAACCATCCGGTCGACCCGCTCCGAGACATATTGATAGAGCACCGGCGTTGTGACCTCAACCCAAAGGAAACAAGGATCGAATTTTGATCGGAACCGGTGGTCTACGTCGTCGATCAAAGCCTCGATGTAGGAATTGGAGTCGCCTGCAATGACTGGAAGCTGGCTGCAGGACAGAATATAATTTCTCCATGGCAATCAATGCCCGGTAGCAAAAATCCGATGTCAAAAAATCGACATTGGGGCCTACTATTCCTAACAAATGGTGGGGAACTCTTTTTCGTTCTTCCTCTGTTATTTTGTTGGTGACAATGACAATGTCTAGTCCTTCATGCACTTGTATTTTGTCTGAGTTTATGCTCTCCACCGGAAACAGGGTGGCGAGTTCGATGGAGAGCCGTGACTTGCCGACTCTGGTCTGCCCCATTACAACCACCACCTTCTTCTTGGGCCGCCAGGGAATTACGGTGTCCAGCTTGAGTCGTCGGAGTAGCAGTGCCACGAGCAAGCGAGGTTGCTGAAATGCCTAATCTAGGTTTGAGAAAAACCCAGATCTGGGTTTGAGAGAAGAAGGAGAAGGGAGAAGAGAGAGAAAGAAAGAACAAGAAGAAAAAAGAAGAAGGATGAGGAAGGAGGAGGACAGGAGGAAGAAGATGAAGTTTGAGAGAAAACCCAGATCTGGTTTGCAGAGGTAAGGGAAAAGGAGAGAGAAAGTGAAAGAGGAAGAAGAGATGATGTGGATGAAAAAAAAATTATTATTTTAAAATTAAATAAAAATGCCAACTAATGCCAACTCATAAGCCAACAATGGTTTTTTTTCCACGTCATTAGTTAAGCAAAAAAAGAACTGATTTGCTGGCAAATTAACGTGACACCTGTCATTTAACTGACGGAAGGACTGTTTTGGTACCGAAAATGAAAGTTTGAGGATAATTTTGGTACTTTTTAAAGTTGAGGGACAATTTTGGTACCAAAGTGGATAGTTGAGGGACCAAAATGGTACTTAAACCTTCATTTTTTAATTTAAGAGAATCACGCTACTGGTCTACATCTGGGCCTCTTTTTAATTAGGCCTCTGACATCTGGATTGCTCGCAATGCCATGCAATCCGCAACCCGTCTCCTCCACCCTCCAAGAAGTTACCCCGTTGAGCCCAAAAATCTTTGACACCCCGTTGAGCCCAAACACAACGAATCCGAACTCACTCCATGCCTTTCTGTTTCAGTTTCAGAGCACTGCTGCCATGTCGGGGGTAGGAGGAACAGGAAGGCCAATGATGAACCTTGAACAGTAAAGAAGAAGAAGGAAACTAGAGAATGGATCTGACAACTGCAGTTCTTTCATTTTGAGAAATTGGAAGGATCAATGACGTCCAGTCCTCCACAGTTAAGGTCAATTTATCTGAGGAATGAAGTATATATATTTACAGTATGCAACAAAATATATACATGTATGTATATATAACTTGACTGATATTTCAAATTTTCAGATAGACGTGTCATTATTATTTAATGATGAAACTCAGCTTTTCCAGCAGATGGGGAGAAGGCATTAGTTTGAACAATTTCATGTTGAGTTCTGCATGCATTACTTCTTTTTTCTAACTCAATTTAATTAACATGATTCACATGATGATTATGTGGCAAGAAAAGTGAAAATAGTGAAAAGGGCAGCAGCAGTACTTAATTTTTATTTTTTATTTTACTTTGTGATGCTTGTTATTCCTTATTGTGCTATGTATTATTCCTCCCATTAATATTAGCTTCTTGTCATTTGTTTCCCTTTTTATGTATTAAAACTTTAGTGTTTATTAACCTTATCTTTTAAAAATATGAAAAAAAAAATTATTTTAAAATTTTAATAAAAATTTAATAAAATAAAATAATTTTAAAATAATTTTAACAAAGTAAGGTATCATCTCTAG